GCTAGGATTACAGGCGTGAGCCACCGCGCCCGGCCAAGAATTCTTTTTTTAAAAAATATTTTCATTCATGTATAATAACTGTCCATATTTTGGGGGTATGTGGGATATTTTGATACATACATATAACTTGTAACTTTATCTTTTTTTGTGTGTTGGGAACATTAAAATTCTTCTCTTCTAGGTATTTTGAAATATATAATAAATTATTGTTAACTGTAATTTCCTTACTGTACTGTCTAATACTAGAACTTATTCCTTCTATCTAACTGTATTTTTGTATCCTTTAACCAAGTTCTCTTCATCCTCACCTCCTTCCTTACCTTCCCTTCCTCTGGTAACTGCCATTCTACTTTCTACCTCCATGAGATCCACTTTTTTAGCTCCCACATATGAGTGAAAACATACAATAGTTGTCTTTCTGTGCTGTCTTATTTTACTTAACATGTTGACCTCCAGTTCCATTCGTTGTTGCTGCAAATGACAGGATTTCATTCTTTTTTGTGGCTGAATAATAATCTATTGTGTATATCTACAACATTTTCTTTATGTATTCATCTGTTGATGGATACATGTTGATTTCATATTTTGGCTATTGTGAAGAGTGCTGCAATGAACATGGGAAGGCAGATAACTCTTCGATATACTGATTTCCTTTCTTTTGGATATATACCCAGCAGAGGGATTGCTGGATCGTATGGTAGTTTTACTTTTAGTTTTTTGAGGAACCTCCCTACTGTTTTCCATAATGGCTCTGCTACTTTACTTCCCTGCCAACAGTGTATAAGTGTTTCCCTTTCATCACACCCTAACTGGCATTTGTTATACTTTATCTTTTTGATAATAGCCATTTTAACTGGGGAAAGCTGATATCTCATTGTAGTTTTGATTTGCATTTCTCTGATGACTAATGATGTTGAGCATTTTTTGGATAGTTTGCAAATATTCTCTACCATTCTGTAGGTTTTCTCATCACTTTGTTGTTTCCTTTGCTATGCAGAAGCTTTTTACCTAGATGTAATCCTATTTGTCTATTTTTGCTTTGGCTACCGGTGTTTTTTGAGGTCTTACACAAAAAAAATCTTTGCTCAGACCACCGTTCTATAGCAGTGGTCCCAATCTTTTTGGCACCAGGGACTGGTTTCATGGAAGACAGTTTTTCCGTGGATGGGGGCGGGGCTTGAGGGGAGCTCAGGCAGCCATACCAGTGATGGGAAGCAGCTGTAAATACAGATGAAGCTTCGTTCACTTGCCTGCTGGTCACCTCAGTTCCTAAGTTTCATGGATGACAATTTTTCCATGGACTCAGGGGGGAAAGGTGAGGGAGGGGGGTGGTGGACCTCTGCAGCCTGGACCCTAATAGGCCACGGACCAGTACCAGTCTGTGGCCTGGGGTTTGGGGACTGCAGTTCTATAGCATTCCCCAATATATTCTTTGGTTAAATTTATTCCTATGTATTTTATTTTATTTTTTGTAGCTATTGTAAATGGGATTGCTGTCTTGATTTCTTTTTCAGCTGTTAGCATATGGAAATGCTACTGATTTTTGTATGTTGATTTTGTATCTTGCAACTTTATTGAGTAGGTTTTTCTAAATATAAGATCATGTTGTCTGCAAATAAGGCTAATTTGACTTCTTCTTTTCTAATTTGCATGCCTCCTTTATTTATTTCTCTTGCTTAATTGCTCTAGCTAGGACTTCCAGTATTATGTTGAATAAAAGTGGTGAAAGTGGGCATCCTTGTTTTCTTTCACATCTTCTTAGTGGAAAGGTTTTTAATTTTTCCCCATTCAGTATGATATTAGCTGGGGGTTTGTCGTATATGTCCTTTATTGTGTTAAAGTATTTTTCTTCTATACCTAATTTATTGAGCATTTATAATCATGAAGAGATGTTGAATTTTATCAAATGTTCTTCAGCATTTATTGAAATGATCATACTGTTTTTGTTCTTGATTCTGTTGATGTGATATATCACGTTTATTGATGTACATATGCTGAGCCATCTTTGCATCCTTGGGATGAATCCCACTTGATCATGGTGAATGGTCATTTTAATGTGTTGTTGAATTTGGGTTGCTAGTATTTCTTTGAGAATTTTTGCATGTATGCTTGTTAGGGATATTGGCCTGCAGTTTTCTTTTTTTATTGGGTCCTTGTCTGGTTTTGGTGACAATGCTGGCTTTGTAGAATGAGTTTGGAAGTATTTCTTCCTCTTCAATTTTTTGAAATAGTTTGAGTAAAATTTGTATAAGTTCTCCTTTAAATGTTTGGTAGAATTTAGCAGTGAATCATCAGGTCCTGGGCTTTTCTTTTCATGGGAGATTCGTTATTATTGCTTCAATCTCATTACTTGTTATTGGTCTGTTCAAGTTTTCTATTTCTTCTTGGTTCAGTCTTGGTAAATTATATGTATCCAGAAATTTACCCATTTCTTCTATGTTTTCTAATTTTTTGGCATATTGTTTATAATAGTCTCTAGTAATCCTTTGTATTTCTGTAGTCTCAGTTGTAATGTTTCCTTTTTTATCTCTGATTTTATTTATGTGGGTTTTCTCTCTTTTCATATTCAGTCTGGCTAAAGGTTTGCCAACTTTATTTCTTTTTAAACAAACAACTTTTGTTGATCTTTGTGTTTTTTAATTCTCAATTTCATTTTTTTCTGCTCTGACATTTATTAATAATTTTTTCTCCTCTATTAATTTAGGATTTGGTTTGTTCTTGCTTTTCTAGTTCCTAAGAGCTAGAGGAGCATTGTTAGGCTGTTTATTTGAAGTTTTTCTATTTTTTTGGATGTAGGCATTTTTTGCTATAAACTTCCCTCTATGTACTTTTTTTTTTTACCATATCCCATAGGTTGTGGTATGTTGTATTTCCATTTTTATTTGTTTCAAGAAATTTTTAAATCTCTTTCTTTATTTCTTCATTGACCCATTTGTCATTCAGGCTCATGTTGTTTAAATTCCATTTATTTATACAGTTTCTAAAGTTCCTCTTGTTATTGATTTCTAGTTTTATTCCTTTAAGGTTAGAAAAGATACTTGATATGACGTTGACTTTTTTGTATTTGTGGAGACCTGTTTTATGGCTGAAGATATAGTCTGTTCTGGAGAATGTTCCATATTCTTTTTTTTTTTCTTTTTGAGACAGAGTCTCACTGTGTTGCCCGGGCCAGAGTGCCGTGGTGTCAGCCTAGCTCACAGCAACCTCAAACTCCTGGGCTCAAGCAATCCTACTGCCTCAGCCTCCCGAGCTGGGACTACAGGCATGTGCCACCATGCCCAACTAATTTTTTCTATATACTTTTAGTTGTCCAGCTAATTTCTTTCTATTTTTAGTAGAGACGGGGTCTCGCTCTTGTTAGGCTGATCTCGAACTCCTGCGCTTGAACGATCCGCCCGCCTCGGCCTCCCGGAGTGCTAGTATTACAGACGTGAGCCACCACGCCTGGCCAGAATGTTCCATATTCTGATGAAAAGAATGTATAATCTACAGCACTTGAGTGAATTGTTTTGTAAATGTCAGGCCTACTTTGTCTAATATGTGGTTTAACTGTAATATTTCTTTGTTGATTTTTCTGCTTCAATGATTTCTCCATTGCTGAAACTGGGGTGTTGAAGTCTCCTACTATTATTGTATTGTGATCTATCTCTTTGGATCTATTAATATTTGCTTTATATATTTGTGTGCTCTTGTGTGGTGCCTATATATTTACTATTATTATATCCTCTTGCTGAATTGATTTCTTTATCATTATATAATGACCTTCTTTATTTCTCTTTACAGTTTTTTAATTAAAGTCTATTTTACCTGATAAAAGTATAGCTACCCATACTCTTTTTTTTTGTTTCCATTTGCATGGACTGTCTTTTTCCATCCCTTCACTTTCAGTTTATGTGTGTCTTTATAGGTGAAGTGAGTTTCTTGTAGGTAGCATATAGTTGGGTCTTGTTTTTTAATGTATTCAGCCACTCTGTGTCTTTTTAAGTGGAGAATTCATTGTTATTATTGATAGCTAAGGACTTAACTACTTCCATTTTGTTACTTGTTTTCTAGTTGTTTTGTAACTCTTCTCTACCTTTCTTCCTTTCCTGCTATCTTTCTTTGTGGTTAAGTGATTTTTCTCTGGTAGTATGTTTTAATTTGTTGTTCTTCATTTTTAGTGTATCTATTATACGTTTTTGCTCTGTGGTTACCATGAGGCTTACAAAAAAATCTTAGAACAAGTTATTTAAAACTGATGTCAACTTAACTTTGATCGTAAAAAAGAAAAAGAAAAGAAATAATCTAAAAAACACTTTATCTCACTTCTCCCTCAATGTTTTGAATTTTTGTTGTCACAGTTTACATTTTTTATAATATATTGCCTATCTTAATGAATTGTAGTTATTATGTTTAGTGGTTTTGCCTTTTAGTCTCTTTCTGAAGATATAAATGCTTTATACAGCATGATTACAATATTAGTATAACAAACATGTTAATATCCTTTGCTTTTGGCTTGAAACACTCCCTTTAGCATTTCTTATATAACAGGTCTGGTAGCGATAAATTCCCTCAGTTTTTGTTTGTCTCAGAAAGTCTTTATCTCTCCTTCTTTTCTGAATCATAGCTTTGCTGTGTGCAGTATTCTTTTTTGATAACTTTTTTTCTTTACCACTCTGAATATGTCTTCCTCCTACCTCCTGGCTTATAAGATTTCTGCTCAGAAGTCTGCTGTCAGACATATTGGATCTCCCTTATGTGGTATTTGCTTCTTTTCTCTATTTTCAGAATCCTGTCTTTGTCTTTGACCTTTTGACCTTTGAGAATTTGATTACAATGTGTCTTGGAGTATTCTTATTTAGGTTGACTCTGATTGGTCACCTTTGACCTTTCTGTACCCACATATTTATATCTTTCTCCAGGTTTGGAAAGTGTTCTATTATTATTTCTTTAAATAACCTTTCTACTCCTTGGTCTTTCTCAGTTCTGTCCCTAACTCCAATAACCCAAATATTTTCTCTTCTGTTTTTGTCCCAAAGATCCTGTTCATTCCTCTTCATTCTTTTTTTTCCTTTGACTTTTCTTATATGACAGATCTGAAAAGTGCTAAATTCCCTCAGCTTGTATTTGTCTTGGAAAGTCTTTATCTCCTTTCTGAATGGTAGCTTTGCTGTGTATTTTCAAATAGTCTGTCTTTGAGCTCACTGATTCTTCTGTTTGTTCAGTTCTCTCCTTGATGCTCTCTATTGCATTTTTCATTTCATTCATTGTATTTTTCAACTCCAAGATTTTTTTGATTTTTTTATTATTCCAATCTCTATTAAATTTCTCTGATAAATTTCTGAATTGATTCTGTCTTTTCCTGAAGTTTGTTGAACTTCCTTAAAACAGCTATTTTGAATTCTTTAAGCGATCACACATCTCCTTCACTTTTGGATTCGTCTCTGGTACTTTATTTTGTCTGCTGAGTGAGGTCATATTTCCCTGAATGTTCTTGCTGCTTGTAGACATGCAATGGTGTCTGCACATTGACAGATTAGCTATTCATTTTAGTCTTCACAGTCTGGCTTTGTTTGTGTCTGTCCAACTTCAAATGTCTTTCCAGGAATTCTAAGCAAACTGACTGTTGTATTACCTGAGGCTATGATCACTATAGCTGTCCCAGCATTAGCGGGACACATTGCCCAGCTTGCTGTGAGTCTTGCAAGGGCTCCAAGGTTGCCAGGGCTTTCTGGCCCAGATGGATCTGGGGAACACTCAAGGAGGGTACTAGGGCTGTGTGGGACTGGCCTGGTACCCAAGTCTAGAAGGCTGTCCTGGTGGTCTAGTCAGGCATGCCTCCCAACAGATCTCTTCACAGGTGAGATGGGTCCCCAACCGCAACAATAGGGGCTTGAATTTAGCCCAGTCCCCTTGGGATCTGTTATGGAATAGAGGCTGGAGAGCCTAGTTCTGGTTCATAAGGGTGCCTGTCACCTAGCAAGTTCCTACATAGGACAGTTCCCTGACTGCAACAGAGGGACCAGAGCTGAGACTGGGCCCCCTCAGCATCTGCTGTAGGATGGAGGCCGGACAGCTCATCAGGTACTCATCTCTCAGAAGGTCTCAGCTCTAATGGGATAGGTCCCCAACTGCGGCAAGAGGGTCTGAAGCTGAGATTGGACCCCTTCAGGATCTGCTGTGGGACAAAGGCTGGGGAGCCATCTTGTTGCCTCAGACAGGCATACTTTTTCCAGTAGATCTCAGCACAGACAGGATAGTTCCCTGCTTATATTCAACAATAGGAGGGTCCAGAGCTGAGACTGGGACCCTGCGGGATCTACTGTGAGACAGAGACTGGAGAGCCTGTCTTGTTGGCTCAGAGGGGTGTGTGTCTCCCAGCAAATCCCTTCACAGTCTGGATAGTTTCCTGTTTGCAGTGGGTAGATCCAGAGCTGAGGCTGTCTTCTCAGGATCAGCTGTGGGACAGAAGTTAGCAAGCCTGTGAGGGAGGTTCACACTGTCAGACTGTGAGATATGGTCAAGTCTCCCTCTGGGTCCTGGTATGAGCAGCTCTGAGCTGGTACCTCAGCTGAGGAGATGATTGGAGCAAAGTTACCTAGCAACTTTCAGGTTCACTGCTGAGACCGATGTCAGCGGTCAGACAAGCCTTTCTGCCAAGGCACTAGTGAGGGTGGTTCCTCATGGACCCATTCTCAGATGGTTTTGCTTACAGGCTCAAGGCCAAATAAGGCTGTCCCCTAGGGGGACTGGGCTCTTTCCAACTTAAATCCAGGAGCAAGCTCGGCCAGTCGGCTACCTGGGTATCAATCTGCACTCTCAAAACGACCTTCCTAGGTCTTGGACTCTACCACAATTTCACAGACTCCTACCTGAATCTTGAGGTTCCTGCAGAGAGACCTGTGACTGTGGATGGGTCCAGGGTTATTGTTCTTTTTCGAGAGATACCTGTGGCTTACCTTCTATTCTGCCATCTTGGTGGCGTCCAAGCACAAGAATTCTTATGTATATTTCCAAATTATGGTTACCTTAAGAAAAACACATTTTTATATTTTGCTTTTAGATATTTAGATATGAACAGTTAAAGCTTGACTTACTATGGAACATGGTTATTATTAAATTATTTTTCCTTAGTTACATTAATATTGTTCATTTGTTTAAAATTCAGGTGGAAAGTTTGAATGAAAAATTGCAAAATGCCAAAGAACAGATTCGAGAAAAAGAGTTTCTAATCCTACAAAATGAACAGGAGATAAGTCAACTGAAAAAAGAAACTGAAAGAACACAACAAAGGATAAAAGAAATGGAGAGTGTAAGCAAATTATTTTTCACCTAAGGAATAAGTAGTCTTCTGATGAGTGAAATGAATCTTTATGTTTTAAACCAGTTGGTTTTAATAAACAGGAACTGTGCAAACAGTATTTTTAGACTGGTTATTTGGGCCAGATACCTATCAGCTTCTTTGACCTTTTAAAGTATTTTTATCTGATGGTCTAGGTGTAGGCAAGGACAATGTCTTATTTATCTTTGCATTCCCTACAGGCCTTGGCATGGTATCTCTCACATAATAAATCCACAATATATGCTCATTTGGTCAACAATTACTTATTGACAACCTACTATGTAATAGAATTGAAGATATAGATATTAATAAGATCCAGTCTTTTGACCTTGAGGAATCCCATCCAGAGAATGGATAAACAAGTGATAATTGTACATAATTGAGGCCAAGTACATTGAATTGTCAGATGAAGTTTGTTGATTTCATATCATCAGTTTGCATATTTGTTGACTGGTGAACCCCATTCCACCCACTTGCCTTTTTAAAAAGTGAATTTCTATGAGCTCTCGTGGACATAACTTTTTCTTGTTTTTAAGTACTTAACTTTAAAACTTCAGACATAGCTCTTTATTATATTTGATTAACTGATTATCTGTCTCTCACCCTGTAAAATATAAACCACATAAGGGTACCACAAAGGGTATCTTTCTTTGTTCACTCCTGTATCCTCAGTGCCTAGAACAGTACATATCACATAGTAAGCATGAATAAGTATTTGTTGAATTATGTACTTAAGTAAGGTCTCTGAGAGCACATTTGTGTCCCAGTGGAGAAAAAAAAAATTTCTGGCCCAGTCATTTCAGGTTCCCCAACAAGGACTGACTGAAAATATTTACATGGGATTTATATTGACTTATAACATAGCTATACCTTGGGCCTCCATTCCAGACATCAGGGCCCTAGTGATTTGTAATGATTTCTTTTCTTTTTCTTCCCTGAAGTGTCATTACCTACCATCTAACCTAACTCACCCAGCTGATTTTCACTGATTTTTTTTTCTAAGAAGCAATACTTTCCTAGGAATTTAACTGAATAATGTAAAAACATTTCAGAAGGAGTAGCAGCCCCAGTAACAAGGTTTTACTTTTGCAGAGGATAAGGTCCTGACTTTAACCCAGCTCTGTGGATTAAGGGTGGGTTTTGATTATCCATGTGAATATATTTTCTGTCTTTGACTTGGATGATCAAATGCTAACTTCTCTTTTCTCTTTATATTATTATATATTCTATCATAAATGTTACATTCACAATGATAAAGGATTATACAGTTTGTATTTATTAAAACAGTGTAAAATGTATCAGTATGAGTGCCAGATTTATTACAGTATTTTTGTCTTTAAAACTTTTTTTTTCTGAATATCATTTTCACAATGGGTAATAATCATTGTATGTTAAATTTCACAGGGATTTAGTTGGGAGGGGGAAATTTACTTATTAAGAGAGAATTCAGAGTAAGAAATAAGTTTCCTGTATATTTTTCATTTTGCAACCTACAAATATCTTGTGCTTTTCAGGTTGTGAAAGAGCAGGAGCAGTACATTGCCACTCAGTACAAGGAGGCTATAGATTTGGGGCAGGAATTGAGGCTAACTCGGGAGCAGATGCAGAATTCTCATACAGAATTGCTGGAGGCTCATCGTCAACAAGTCCAAGCCCAGAGAGAAATAGAAAGGCTCTCTGGTGAACTGGAGGATATAAAGCAACTCTCTAAAGAGAAAGTAATCCCAATGCTAAATAATTTTATGTTACTGAAAATCTTAAAAATTTTAGTGTTCACTTTTTCAGCAGTAGAATATAGTTCTTGCAAAAATGAACTGTGTTGCACTACAATGTAAATGTACATAATACCACTGAAATATACACTTAAATATGGTTAAAATGGTAAATTTTATGTATATTTTACCACAATTATAAAAAGAAAAAAATTAACTGTTACATTTATATAACTTTGTAATATAACTAGGAAGTCCTTCAGAACTGAATTTTGGCCAAACTAATTAATTAATTCTAATTAAACTGAATTATAAAGCACTTTGAGACTTTTAACTGACTTTGAGCTCTCACTTTAAGAAATATGAAGCTAATAAATCTTATTTGAATAAATGTTTTTATATTTGTAGCCACTCTTCAGACCCCTTTGTGGGGAGGTAAGATGCTTTTAAAAAGCAGAAGTACTAATATAAATTTTATTTCCTCAGTATTTGGTTGTAGTTTAACAACTTGGCTTAAAATATTTAGATTGGAGGGCCTAAAATATTTAGATTGTGGTGACTCACACCTGTAATCTCAGCACTTTGGGAGGCTGAAGCAGGAGGATCACTTGAGCCCAGGAGTTCACGGTTACAGTTATCTATGATCATGCCACCACACTCCAGCTTGTGTGACAGAGTAAGGCCTTGTCTCTAAAAAGAAAAGAAAAAAATTAACGCAGCAAGCTAATATACTGATATACTATGTAGGGGGTTAAGAGCTTGAATTCCTGAGCCAGGCAGCCTGTTTCTGAAACCTAGCTCACCACTGAGCACTTGTTTGACCTTGGGTAATTACTTAGACTTTGAGAAAAATGTGTTTGTTGATGTTCCAAAAAACGTTCTTATGATTTTTCTGCTTTCTATATGGTTAATTAATTCAACATAGAAGTTGAGTGAAAATACTTTTATCTTTAATTTTGGTTAAACCTAACTATGTTGTTATACATATTTCTGGATACTTAGACTAATAAAGAATACATAGGGTTTCTACTAGGAAAAGGGAAGCAATCTACTTTTATCTCATTTCAGTCCTTATCTCATATCTAAATAAAGTACACTTGGTTATATTTGATAAACAAAGTTCACTTAATCAAAAAAGTAAGTTAAAGTGGGGAATTATTTAAATTGATGGTTTTTTGAATATTATATTTTAACTCAAAATTAAATATACATTCATATGTTTATCTTTTTATTTAGGGCCAAACCTTGGTACTTTTTGTATAAGGCATTTGATTAGAATTCTACCTAGTATTTCTTGCATAAATCATACTTATATTCCATCATCTACACTTTCCAGTTTTGGTTTCTTAAAAGTGGAGGAAAGCCAGGCACAGTGGCTCATACCTATAATCCCAGCACTTTGGGAGACTGAGGAGGTAGGATCACTTGAGGCCAGGAGTTTGAGACCAGCCCATGTAACATAGCAAGACCCCATCTCTACAAAAAAATTAAAAAATTAGCTGGGCATGCTGGCTTGTGCCTGTACTCGCAGCTACTTGGGAGGCTGAGGCAGGAGGATTGCCTAAGCCCAGGAATTCAAGGCTGCAGCAAGCTATATGATCATATCACATTATGTTAGCTGGGTGACAGAGCAAGACCCTGCCTCAAAAAAACCAAACAAACAAAACTAGAGAAAGACTTAAAAGACATTTGTACCCAAGAGTATAACATCATGGGGCCTCCTGCAATATTTTATAACTATTTTGACTGCTTCTAGTTGGGTAGCAAATGTTCATGACTCACTTATTGAGCTATTTCAAAACATACAACTTTGTTTTTACATAAAACCTTTTCTTTGGCATGCATATTTCATCAGTGTTCATAATATATAAAAAAATTACATAATTAAAATCACAAGCACAGCTAGCATGAGTAGATTTGGCTAAAAACTCAACTGACTCTTGATAAGAGTCACTATATCTGGTGAGCAAAAATGCACAGGCATACCTAAGAGTGACCGTTGCCTGCCAAAATTCAGCATCCTGTGGTTTTACAGAAAGCATTGGTTAGTGAGCATCTATTTTATTATGGTAGCAAACAATATACTAATACTCTCCCATCACTAGCCTCTTAAATGTTTAGATTTTAAAGTATACCATTTAATAAGTTAACTTTGTGTGTGTTTATATAATATACAAAATTAAACTACTTAATGCACCAGATTGGTTTAGGTATAATAACCAAATAAACAAGTTTTATATCATTTACTTAATATATCATTTTTAAGGAAGCTCGTGGAAACCATTTAGCTGAAGAATTGGGGGCTTCTCAAGTACGTGAAGCTCATTTAGAAGCAAGAATGCAAGCAGAAATCAAGAAATTGTCAGCAGAAGTAGAATCTCTTAAAGAAGCTTATCATATGGAGGTAAAGAAAAATTTAATTTGTTCTAGAAGCACCTGCCAAAGTCGTTCACCTAGCCAGACAAAAATATGAGTCTAGCTCTTAAATATTCATTATAGAATGATGCATCCTGGTCTTCATTTCTGGTAGCCTAAACATACAACTTTCACTTCATATCCAGCAAGCTAATATACTGTGTGTGAGGTCAAGAGCTTGAATTCCTGAGCCAGGCAGCCTGGTTCCAAAACCCAGCTCACCACTGAGCACTTATATGACCTTGGGTAAGTTACTTAACCTCTCTATCTAAAATGGATATAGGCTAGGCATAGTGAGTCATGCCTGTATTCCAGCACTTTGGGAGGCTGAGGCAGGAGGAGGTGCTTGAGGCCAGCCTGTGCAACATAATGAGACCGCTGTCTCTACAAAAAAATGTTAAAAGTTAGCGGTGTATGGTGGCACATGCCTGTAGTCCCAGCTACTCGGGAGGCTGAGGCAGGAGGAGGTGCTTGAGGCCAGCCTGTGCAACATAATGAGACCGCTGTCTCTACAAAAAAATGTTAAAAGTTAGCGGTGTATGGTGGCACATGCCTGTAGTCCTAGCTACTCGAGAGGCTGAGACAGAAGGATTGTTTGAGCCCAGGAATTCAAGCTACAGTGAGCTGTAATTGTACCACTATACTCCAACCTGGACAACAGAACAAGACTCTGTCTCTAATTAATTAATTAATTAATTAAATGGATATAATAGTGGTTTCTATTTCATAGAACTGTGGTGAGGTTTAAATGATTTAATATGTAGATTATAAAATAGCATTTGCAAAAAACTAACTTAAGATATTTAACAACTGATATAAACAGTTTCATGTGATGTGAATCTATATGCTTTGCATTTTCCAATATTCAGTAAGTTAAATAGAGAAGTTAAATAAAGAAGCAGGCAGTACTACAACCTTTTTATCTATTGGTATGTCCTGAGCTTTCATAGAAATGGGCAGCCCTATCAATTAGAATAGCATTTTTTCATCTTTGTAAAAACATTTGAAGATACTACCCAAAATCTTTGTATATGATCTAAATAACTTATTGAGTTTAATGCTAATAAAGCATTTTTCTAATATGGCAAGGCTTGCAAATACATTTATGTTAAACTCCATTGAAGGGAATTTGGTAACATGTTTGTGAGGGATTGATGGGGCTTGTAGTGACCGTGTGTTGCTTAAATGCATTTAGATTCAGATCTCTTTGAACTCATTGTGCTTGCCAAACAAAACACATTAGCAAGCTAAATCCAATCCTCAGGCCAAGAATTTACAACTCTTGGTTTTTGGAGACAAATGTGAAGACTGTTGGCCTCAGCATAATTATATAATTGATATTAGCAGCTCAACATTTTTTTTCTTTTTCATTCTTTCTTCCTTTTTTTTTAAAGACAGTGTCTTGCTTTGTTGCCCAGGCTGAAGTGCAGTGGCACGATCATAACTTATTGCAGCCTGGGACCCCTAGGCTCAAGCAATCCTGCCTCAGCCTCCTGAGTAAGCAGTTCAACTTAGTGACCATCAGTAATTAGGTCATCTCAAGTGTTTTCCTTAACTACTCATTACACTTTTATTATAGGGCCTCTGTTCAGTTTTTGTCTGTAATTATCTATCTCTTGTTTTATTTTTTTAGTTTTATGAGTCACTTGAAATTATTTATAAACAGTACATAAAATTAAGTGTAAAGGTTCTAGTGCTGCTTTTTTTTTCTTAAAGTAGCGAGGTCTCACTATGTTACTCAGGCTGGCCTTGAACTTCTAAGCTCAAGCCATCCTCCCACCTTAGCCTCCTGAGTAGGACTACAGGCACATGCCACCAACAGTGTTTAATATTTAATGTTGCTATTTAATATTTGGTACTAATATAGTTATGTATGATACAGAAATATGTAAGTTTTTTTCCTTGTTGGCAGTTGATAAAGATCTATTTTTAAAGTGTATATATTGTTCGAATATAAAAATGAGAGGATATGGTATTAAAGTAATAGAGAGAAAAAGGAATCAGTTGTTTTTAACAGTATTTTTTTAAAACACAGGTTTCAGAATTGTCAGAAAATTCACTTAATACAAAACTCCTGATTTTTTTGAGAGAATGAGATTGGCTATAGAAAGGTTATCTCCACAATAACCTTTTATTGTGGAAAATCTTAAACATATTTAAAGATAGAATAGTATAATAGTATAAATCCTCCTAGATTTATTTTTGATATTTAATAATTATTAGCTCGTGGCCAATTTTATTTCATCCATAAATACATTGACCATTTTCTTTTATCTAGAAGGGAATCCTTTTGAGAATGAAAAAGAATGCTATTAGGAATTATATCAGGAAACCAGGCATAAAACCTAGATAATCGTAGGCATACTGGAAAATGTGGTCAATTTATCTTCAACCTCACTTATTTCCTTTCCTACTCTCCCCCCCGTATCCATATGTTATTTTGGAGCAAATTCCAGACATCATTATTTATTCTGTAAAACATTTCAATAAGTATCTCTAAAAGATAAGGGCTATTTTTAAAAAACATAACCATATACCATTATCACATCTAAAAATTGACAGTGATTCTTAATATAATCAGATATCTAGTTGTTCAGATTTTCCCCAATTGCCTCAAAAATGGTCTTTATAATCTATTTGTTCAAATTAGGGTCTAAATATAGTCCATTGCATTTGGTTAACTGTTCTTAAATAAATTTAAGATTATATGTTCCTTTTCTCCCTTTTTCCCTTTAGTATTTTATTTGTAGAGAAATAAGATGTTTGTAGCTATAAACAAAATTTATATTCTTTAAAGAAAAAGTGAGTGGAAATGGAAATTATTAGAATGTTGTTGACACCAATTCTAATCTATTTTCTGTTTTTGTTTTTTTGCTTTTCCATTTTGGGGACTATATAGATGATTTCACATCAAGAGAACCATGCAAAGTGGAAGATTTCTGCTGACTCTCAAAAGACTTCTGTTCAGCAACTAAATGAACAATTAGAGAAGGCAAAACTGGAATTAGAAGAAGCTCAGGACACTGTAAGCAGTTTGCATCAACAAGTCCAAGACAGGAATGAAGTAATTGAAGCTGCAAATGAAGCATTACTTATTAAAGTAAGTAAACATATAAAAGTAAGAAAGCTTACCTATGAAAAAGTAAATCTATGATTTATTTTTCCTGACCTTGTAGTATGTGGACGACTATATGACCAACTATTGACCTGTTTGAATTAAAAGCATTTTATTTACATAAATAAAATGAATTTGGGAAATTATTGATATGATGTACATCATATTACCACAGCAGAAATAATTTATAAATGTTCAAATACAAACTCATCTAATTGTACTATTTGCTCTATAGTTTTATGCTTGATGTACCTAATAAGTAGAAGCATTTCTCAAAATCAGTAAAGTTCCTTTAAAAATCACTAAGTAGAAAATACAAGATTATATTCAGAATTTTTTTCTGCATTTTAATATAAACATCATTTTAAAAATGCCTATTGCTACTTATTCACCTCTATTGATCATGGCAGTTTTATCTACAATTTGAAATTAATATTAGTGTCGTTGCATAGAGATTAAAAAGTTAACATTGGTTAAAAATTGCCAGTATAGAGGGTAAAGTTATCAGTGAAGCCCTTAAAAAAGAACAGATAGTTATGAAGCAGTAAGTGATTTTATAGCAAAATGGAAAGTATTGAAAAGGAAAAAAACTCAACCAAATAATACCTTAGGAATATTTCTAGTTAGTAAACTGAGCACTTAAATTCCTTTGATATTCACAGTACTAGAGGAAAGCTGAATAGACATAGTCTAAAATTTTAATGTTTAGGTTGAACACTCTATTAATGCTTTTATCAAAACATTAATATTCCTAGTGTTCTGGAGGTTTACAACCTTTATACAAAATTACAAAACTTCATTGTGAAAAACTGACCCTAAAAAATTAAGATTCTGCATTGTATTCCTTGTCACAGTAGCTATCGCTGCTGCTCACTTGCTGGATACTACCAATGAGACAAATACAATTAGATTGCACGTATCAATTATTCAGAAGATTTTAAGTTCAACTACTTAGGAAATTGCCAAAATAGTGGCTAAGTAGCAGCAGTTCTTAAATGAACCATAGATACAGAGATCTTAGAACATGTACTGGGAATAGCCAATATACCAGTCAGAAAATAGAATTTCTGTATTGTGTTTGACAGGAGCTCTCAAAGTCAATCTCAACTGGCACTAAAGTCTAGACTGAAGAGGAGTTGGGCAGGACAAGAGAGAGAAATGAAGAGAGGCTAATAGAAGAGCTGAAGCAGGCATAATTCTAATAATTAGAAGTAGTTATAAATAATAGAAAGCAATTCCATTGACAGCATCAATAAATGAAAGAGAACAAAATCAGAAGTGAGGAGGAGAAAGAACAGTGTTTGAGGCAAAGTTCACTTTCTTTAGTACTGTAACTAGTACCCTCATATTTTAGGGCAACTGGAGCAAGGGTAAAGACCATTTTCTGAGAGCCCTGAAGGCATCATTATGTAATAATATAGGGTCACAACAATGACCTTCTTTGAATCTTAAGAAAATATTGAATTATGTTTAATGTACTTGGTATACTACATTATAAAAGTTATGTGTAAACTGTAAGTTAATTGGAATCTTATAATACTTACCTAAGATACCACATCTCAATTATGGCTAGATAATGCATAAGAGGGGAGAAAAAATAACTCCAGCTGTGCATAACTCTATTCTATATCAACTCTATAACTACTTTATTAATCATGATTATAAGAATGTGAATGTAAGATTTACTATAAAAAATTAGCACTCTAGCCACTTATAAATAATATAAATTAAGTTTATCTAGATAAAGTAATATGAAGATATGAAAGAATTGAAATATGCATGTTAAACTTCCATTTTGTAATGCATTCTGTGGATATGTCAGTTTTAGTTATAGACACAGTACTTTTAGACACCAAACTTAAGAACAAAAACTATAGATTAAAAGTGACTGATTTAGAAATACGTATCTTATGGATATTTTTAAGAAAACAAGAATATATTTGAAGAGGAGACTACTACGCTTATATTATTTAGCTTTTAAAACTAAAATGTCATTTCTTCATTTTTTTGGTTTTTTAGTGTATGCATTCTCATTCCTAGGATCCCAAAGTTGAGTCAGAGAACCCAAATGAAAAATAAGGAAAAATAATAGAAATGAAAAATGTATTTAAATAAGGATTAATTTATTAAATATTATTAATCTCCTTATTAGAGTTTTCTCTTTGAAAAATTTCTAGTATAATAAAGCTTTCTTATAAGTAGGATATATAAAGCAGAATAGCTAATATACATTTATTTCCTGTTAGAAATTCTGAAGGAAGTCTTTTTGTGTCTGTATGTATCAGATTAACAAAAGATAGTGTACCTCTATACTTTTGCAGAGAAGTTTTTAGATGTAAGATTTCAATCTTGAATAGAAACTGATATTGTAATTAACACTAAGAAAATTCTGTAAGGAAAATCTAGTTTTCATGGAATTCCTTAGACTACTTTAACCATATTTCAAATGAACATATGTGTTGTTCCAAAGTGAAGCTATCTTAAATAGTAAAGAGTTTAAATAGAGCTTGGAAAAGTCTCAGGAATTATAAAAAGAATTTGTATGCTGAGACAAAGGTTGACTTAGATAACCTGTAAGAGTCTGTGATTTTCTATGTAGTTCATTTATTTAACAAAAATGTATTAAGTACCTACTATAATATGTACCAATTTTTCTACAGGAATCAGAGTTAACCAGATTACAAGCCAAAATTTCTGGACATGAAAGGGCAGAAGACATCAAGTGTCTACCAGCCTCATTTACATCTCCAACAGAAATTATGCCTGATATTCAAGATCCAAAGTTTGCTCAACATTCTTACACATCTTTTTTCAAGTGTAGAAAACTACGTCGCTCTATTAGTGCCAGTGACCTTAGTTTCAAAACTCATGGTGATGAAGATCTTTCTGAAGAATTACTACAGGACTTAAAGAAAATGCAATTAGAACAGCCTTCAGCATTAGAAGAAAGCAATAAGGATCTGACTTACATGCAGTCAGACTCATTTAAACCTCTCAAATATAACCTAGAAGATGATAGTTCTGAAAGTAATGACTTTAGTACTCTTAGTGGAATGCTGAGATACATAAACAAAGAAGTAAGACTATTAAAAAAGTCTTCTGTGCAAACAGGTGCTGGTTTAACTCAGGTATGTGTTTCATACATTTTAAGTTGTAATAGTTTGTCTCTAAAGAATATTGTTTTATTATTTGGTGTGAAATTCATATATTTAAATGAATCATGCCATGTCATGAAAATCCTGTTTGTATGTGTTTGTCTTAGGTCAGTAATAGCCATATAATGTAAGTATTATAAAGGAATAGAAAAAATGTACTCTTCATTATTGGTAGACACCTGTTAATTGGGAAAACCAAAAATCTTTTTTAAAAAGGACGTAAAATTCACAGAAAAGTAACTTAAAAGTTTCTGAGAAAATTAATATTTAAAAAAGGAAGATTTTAAATTTTACACATTAAGTATAGCTAATACTAAAAAATATATACTTCTCTAGATGATATGTGAGATAATAGGGGGAGAGGGAGACCGAGAGGGAGCTGGAAGTAGAGTGAAAAACAGGAAGAAGAAATATGCAATAAGAGAAATCAAGAGAAAGTAGATTCTAAGGTGAATGTTTTCTAAACTTAGTCATAATTTACTGTTCACTTGGGCTTTGTGTATCAGAATAAGTTACTGTTGGATATCATTGACCTTTGGAAAGTTGATTTACTGATTAGCCATTATTTAAAATCATGAATAAGGCCAACTTCCCTCATCCTTATAACTTTTTACCCTAAAATATTTCTTTATTCTATGTTCACCTTCCCTTCTTTTCCTCCTTTTCAAGATAAAGATGTATCCCTCTTCTTATTTAGGGACAATCCCTTGAACATGTACTTTATACTGTTGCCTATTTTGCTACTCTGCCTCCTCATTTAACGCACATCTTTTGGCTTCTTTATTATCTTCCTTCCAGACATTTTAAATTCATACCTACTCTATTCATGTCCATTGTTGTTACCTCCTTACTACCCTTCCTACTATATTGGGTGGGCTCTTGAATATTAAATGCACTGAACTGTTTCCTTGAAAGGCACAAAAAAAATCATCTTATAAACAAATTTAGGAGTCTTTTGTCTTCAGCTTTTGTAGATTTTTATTCTATTTTATTTTGTTTGAAACAGGGTCTCACTTTGTTGCCTGGGCTAGAATGCAGTGGCCTTATCATACATAGCTCATTGCAGCCTCCAACTCCTGGGCTCAAGTGATCCTCTTGCTTCAGCCTCCCAAGTAGCTGGGACTACAGGCGTACACCAATATGCCTGCCTAATTTTTTTATTTTTTGTAGAGACGAGGTCTCACTATTGCTCAGGCTGGTCTCTAACTGTTGGGCTCAAGCGATCCTCCCGCCTTGGCCTCCCAAAGTGCTAGGATTCCAGGTGTGAGCCACTGGGAGCCACTGTGCCCAGCCTAAAAAAGTTTAGTAAAATGGATCTAAGACAAAGAAAAATTATTGAGTCAGCTTTTCTTCATAACACTTATTTCTGCCTGGTATTAGAGTATATATCTATTTACTCGTTTATCAGTTTTCTCCCCCACTAAAATGTAAGCTCCGTGTAGACAGGGTATTGGTCACTTTTATTTTTATACTTCCAGTGCCTGATATGTAGTAGATGCTGAATAAGTATTTATTGAATGGATTAAATGGCTGAATAACTGCTATATAGTAAATACAACTGTACTTTTAAACACAACTATAGATTTTATCAGGCTTTCCTGGCCAAAATTTCACTTTTAGCATTTTATTTTTAGCATTCAAGAAGTTAAAGATTTAATAAAGGTAACTCAGAAGTAATTAGTGAGATAGAAAAACCAGGAGAGTGTAATATCTCACAATGTGTTTGAAGAAGAAAGATGAGATCAGTTGTGCCAAATGTTGCTAAATAAAGTGAGGATTGACAATTGACTATCATATTTGGTAATGGTGAAGCTATTGATGACCTTCATAAGAATGAATAACAGTGGGAATGAAAGCTGGATATGGAGTAGGTTTAGCGAAGAATAGGAAGACAGGAAATAGAAACACCAAGAAAAAATTAGACAACTATCGATAAAGAGTAAAGCAGAGAAATGAGGGGGATGTGATGTTAAGGGGGAGTTTTTTTGTTTTGTTTTTAAGATAAGAGATAAAAAGAAAAAAAACAGCTGTTGTATGTTGATAGGAATGGTTGAGTAGACGAGGAAACTGATAATTCTGGACAGAGAGTAGGAAGAGTAAAATTCTTCAGGGAGGCTTAGAGAGATAGGATCCAGGAGAGAAGTAGAGAAGTTGGTCTCCAAGAAAAGACAGGGCAGTTCATTCCCTGTGAAAAGGAAGGCAGAATAAGTGGGTGGAAAATTTGTTGGTAGGAGAGGAATTTCTTTATTGATTGCTTTTATTTTCTTAGTGAAATAAAAAGTGGGGTTATTAGCTAAGACAGGGTAAGGTATGGGAGGTTTAAGAACAGGGAAGGTGGCTGGGCGCGGTGGCTCACGCCTGTAATCCTAGCACTCTGGGAGCCGAGGTGGGCGGATTGTTTGAGTTCAGGAGTTCGAGACCAGCCTGAGCAAGAGCGAGACCCCATCTCTACTAAAAAAAAAATAAGAAAGAAATTATCTGGACAACTAAAAAAATATATATAGAAAAAATTAGCCGGGCATGGTGGCGTATGCCTGTAGTCCCAGCTACTCAGGAGGCTGAGGCAGGAGGATCGCTTGAGCCCAGGAGTTTGAGGTTGCTGTGAGCTAGGCTGACGCCACGGCACTCTAGCCCAGGCAACAGAGTGAGACTCTGTCTCAAAAAAAAAAAAAAAAAAACAGGGAAGGTATATGAAATATTAATAGTTATCTTAGTGGGAAAGCATAAGTAGATTAACAAAGTCTAGTAGAATTGCCAACTATATACATTTGTTACGTGGAACAGCCCTGGAAAATATAGGACATCTGGCATCGTTTGTCTCTGCCCACTGTATGCCAAAAGCAGGATGTCCTTTTGTCCTCTATCATAGTGACAACCAAAAAGTACCCTCACAAATTTCTAGAATATTCCCTAAGTGACAGTACTGCTCCATTTAAGAACCTCTGCTGTATTCCAGTGACCCTTGCAGTCAAAGGTGTGCAAGAGTCTATTTTTGTTAAAAATAAAACCTAATTTATACAGGATAAATTTGATAAATACAGTGACAGAATGCGATGGATCATAACAATACATAGCCCTTACTATATGCCAGGTACTATTCTAAATGCTTTGTATAAATTAATTCATTTAATCCTTATAACAACCCTGTGATATAACCTGTGAAAGGTACTATTATTAACCTAATAGTACCAAATAATAGTACCTTATAGTTCTTTTATTATAGTGGGTACTGTTTTTATCTTCCTTGTATAGATTAGGAAACTGACTCCCTGCCCTTAACCAGTATGCAATATTATTTGCATAATTATATTTGTATTTTCTTTAGTACTAATTACACAGTTTGATCTTGCAATTGCTTAATCAATTAGCGATTAAGAGGGTTGGACTTAAAAGTTAACTACACAACTGAGAATGATTTCTTACTCTATAGGTCATTGGAATATATAGATACATTTGAATATTACAAGTCATTTCACCTATTTAATTATCATGGAAATTCAGTGCCAAATTAAAATATCCAAAATGCTGTAGCCAGTTGTTAAAAGAACTGTATTCTTAAAATCGAGTCAAAGTTACATTCCATACTCACAGTTTTGTTTATTGCCAGTGATACTCTACTGAGTTTTAAATGCATTCACCACAATAAGTAGTTACAACTTTAAGCTCACATGAAATTCTTATAACCCATGAGCCTCAATTACATTATTCGTGTTGGCTTAATTTTGTCTTGGATAGAAGGAACTGGATCTTTGGATTGCTTAGAACTCTGTTCAGTGCTCCATTATTGTTATTTCTAGCACCCATGTTTGACAAATGCTCATCTATGAATTTTCAATTCTCTAATGACCACTACTTACATATTATACCCCAATCTTAAAGGAAGGATTACTGAAAACATCTCTGCTTTTTCTGAAGGGCCTCTGTTTTTTTCTTATCTAATATCACTGTTGTCTTTTTTAATGGAAGGTAAGAAAATTCAGAGAGACGGCTACTGTTGAATGAAACTTTGACTTGCTGTGGTTTTACTACTTAACTGCCTCATAGTCATTTACATGTACGTTGCATTAATAAATGTATACCACTTTGTAAAATTTGATATAAAAGATACTTTAACACATTAACCACCACGTGAGTTGTATTTAACTCATGCTAGTTTCGAGCCCGGGGCTTCGTGAAGCAT